TACCAAAAAAATTTACGATTAGAAGTCTAAGTTTTTTTTTTCTTTTTTTTTCTTTTTTTCTTTATTTTTACGTTATTCCATATTTTTATTCAATTGTTTTTTTTTGTCCTCTGTTTCGTTTACCTTTTAATCGCAATTGCAATTTTAATTTTGTATAGTTAATTTGTATTTGAAGAAAATCTATTAACTACTACGGTGTACTCGTGATAATAAAAAGAAACAAGCGTAATTTCTAATCGTACTAAATTAAGCGAGAATGTGTATGTTTGTTACTTTTTACAATGGTTTGTTTTTCGTTAAAATTCTTTTCTCCTTTTCTTTTTTTTTTTTTTTTTTTTTTTTATTTTTCTTTTTTTTTATTTTCTTAACATATAATTTGGGAAATAATTTCCATCAAAAAATAATCCTGTTTTGTATATATAAATATATTATAGATTGTAATATTGTAATAATGAATGATAAAAAAAATGTCATAGATTATCGTACTTATTACGAGAAAAGTAAAAATACTATAGAAAACTTTCATGCGCATTGCATGATATTGTAAAACATTGTTAATAAAGAAATTACAATAGACTCTTATATTTTTTAAATTTTATTTTTATGTGGGATATATTTATAGGTCCTTTAACGTTTATCGGTTTTCGATCGATGGTGAGTAATTAAAAGAATTGAATTATATACGTCGGTGTGTATTTTTTTTTTTATTACGTTTTTGGCCATGCATACCAAGATTGAAAATAATAATTTGTCCTCTATATATATACTCGTACATCTTTCTTTCATTTTGAATAATAAAAAGTACATATTTTTTTTTAATTGATATAACAATATTTGATTTTATAAAATAAGTTGAGGTGTTTTTTTTTCCCTTTATATACATACCTGTCTTGACTTATTATGATTTTACAGGTGTTTCGGCAATTTTGTTTGTTTTTTCTTTTCTTTTTTTACATAAACATTACGATGCATCATTATCATTAGTTTTCAATCGTTTTATCAATTATATTTATAAGAAATAACAAACTATACATATACAAGTGCCGTACACATTAAGATTTATCGTTATTATTTGAATATATTGTTAATTTTATTGTACAACATTGCTAATTAAAAAAAAAAAAAAAAAAACAAATAACAATAAAAGAGATTAAAAAGAAAACATATTTGAACGGGAAGAAAGTGTTCGTTAAAATAATTAAAACAAAGAGTCAATTCTATAAAAATGAAAGATAAAAAAAGACGGAGAAAAATAATTACTTCGTAAGAATTTAGCTGACGCACAATTAACGAAGTAACGATTTCATAAAATTTCCAAATGTTTTTTCCCTTCTACTTTTCTTCTTTTCTTCCCCCTTATTTTGGTTTAAATTTGGCACTATAAAAGTATTTTGTTGTTGATAACAATTGAAATAATTACGTACGTTACTATAATTTTATATAAGAAACTACTACATCTATATACAGATATACATATATATATATATATATATATATATCTGTATACACTTGATTTTAATTTATCACAATATTAATTATTAATTAGCAATTTTTTTCTATATCCAAAAAGAGATTACACCGATTAATCGTCGTTCGTTAACTCCAAAAATACAATCTCGTTTATTGTTTTAAACTTCATACGTACAAGTTTCAAGAGGTATTTTTAAGATTGCATGTTTTGTTGTTGTTGTTGTTGTTGTCGTATTAAAATTAGATACATCTTTTTCTTCTTTTTTTGTTTCTTTTTGTTTTTTGTTGCTTTTTTTTTTTTCTTTAAATACAATGAAATTTTACACAGCTATCAAACTTTATTACTTTTTTTTTTTTTTTTTTTTTTTGTAGAGTGAACGGGAAAAAATTAGCATGGAATCGTCAATATTATTTTCTTTTTGTTATTTTTCTATCTCGTTTTTCTTTTAACACATTAAAAGTTTAATATATTATATTATATTATATTATTCCATTGTGTGTTTACACAATTTGTGTGATCTTGAAGAGAACATGATCAGGCATTTTCAAAAAAGAAAAAAGATAGTAATTATTTATATTCAATGAAGATACTATTCGTTATCTATGCTATAATATTATACATTTACAGCATGGCAGTGGTACTATAACCCACAATTCATTGTTTTATTTATTTTTTTTTTTTTTCATTTTTGTTGTTTATGCTTTTATGTTTTCTTTGACATATACTCTACAAATTGTAAAATTTATTTTCTTGATTCCAAGTGATAAATCACAGTTTTCATTGATCTTAATTCTTTTTTCTTTTTTTTTTTAATTACTCGTTTATTTTCTTTGGTCTGTGATTTAATCATCGAGACATGCATAAATCACTACTGCAGATCAAAACAACGCGTCCATTAATTATTTTTCATCAATTTTTTCCTCATATCACAAAATGTCTTTTATATCTTCATTTATTCTTTTTCTTTCCTTTACATTTTCTTTGTTTTCTTCTGCTGCAATACTCTTTTACACGATCGAAAAAAAACAAATGCTGTCGATTGAATCGTACGGAAAATAAAAAGAGACAAAAATATTGAGAGATAATTACACGACCAGGACCATGACCACGATTACGACCACGACCACGACCTCAACCAACGGGGGATTAGAAAATCGAAATTAAATTGAAGATTCGTAAACACGATTCGCGTTGTCTCTTTTTTAAAAACATCGTTTATATTCATGACTCTAATGCAATAAATTAATTTACGTTTTCTTTTTTTTTTTTCTTTCTTTGCATTTTAATCCTAATATTAATCTTTCAATGCTTTTATCTATGTACAAAATAAAATATATAAAAAAAAAAAAAGAAAAAACGAACGAAAAGTAAAAAGACAAATACACAAGTAGTTTTATCATAATTTAAAGATTCAAAGCTTTTTAAAATCATTGGAAAATTCATATGTCAAATTTCTTATAGTGATATTTATAATAATAAAATTAAAATACAAATTCCAATTGATACATATGCATATACATATATATATATATATACATATATACATATACATATATATATATATATATCTATACATATATGGTTTGGTTTTTCTTTTTCTCTTTTTCAATTTTATTCTATTATCGACAGGTTGCGTACCATCCCAGCAAAAATTGATTCGTTTCTAATCTGGTTTAAAGATAGAAAGAGATAGATAGATAGATAGATAGATAGATAGTGATAGAGAGACAAGGAAAATAATTAATTAGATTACGAGGGATTAATTCAATATGGGATACGAAAGATGGTACACCATATGACAATGACACATAGTATGGAATCGTAGTGTGATTAGGTATAACTCTCTACAATATGTTTCTCATACGACGTTAGTATAATTAATTCCTAAAACATATGTTCTACCCAAATAGTTGCTTTACAATAATTAATTACTCTTCATAGTCTATCAAAATATTCATCACAGTGCTACGGACACAAGTATTTGTTGTGTTCTTTATGTTTATACGTGTAAATAATGATTCCTCTTTATTTTATTATTTTTTTTATTTTTATTTTTTTTTTTTGTTATAATAGTTAATTAAGGAAATATCACATTACCAGGCCACTCCCTGAAAGCAATTTAATGCCAAAAGGGAAAAATTGTTGTGCCTACTATTTAAGATATAAAGAAAATAATAATAATAATAAAGAACTATACATATGTATATACATATACATGTACATATACATATATATATATACAAATTTATAGAATATATTATTACGTTCTTCGTTTGGTTTTGGAATAAAAGAAAGAATATCGTATGTGACAAATTTAAATTTTTTTTTCAATTTAATTCCGAATAATAATAATAATAATAATAATAAATTCAAACTTATTTTTATGTATTTTTATTTTGTTTTTCTTTTTTATTTCGAAAGAACACAGTAGTATCACAAATTTTATAACTTTCTACCATAATATATGTATATATAAATATATATATATATATACTAGATTAAAAATATCTCAACGAGAGGTCCGATATTTTGATATTTCCCATTTATTTATTTAATTTCTTTTTTTTTTTTTTATCACTCGTTTCTTTCTCGTTTATTAGGGTTAACTACTACACACAGAGATGGCAGTATTATCCCATTTAAAAAATCTTAGTTGACTTTACAATATTAGACTATATTTACAGAGATTAATTGAAAGAATGAGAGACACATTTCCAAGGAGATCATATAGCTTGCGACAAATTTCGATGTCATAAAGAATTAAATAAAAATGTAATTGCTTCTTTTAACCATATCTTCATTTTTCGCAATAGTTACAAACGTTTAATCAACAAAATAAGGATGAAACGTAACAACAACACGATAGAGAAAAATGTATGTATTGTTTTTCGAACGAAAACAAAAACCGATCGTTTGAAAGATTCGCAAACTAAAATAAGATACGACTTGGACGAAATATAATTGTTATCCAATTAAATTAAATATCAAGAAAAATAAAATGAAAGAAGACAAATGAATCTTTCATATATCTATATATATATATGACAGATGTAACTTAACATGTAGAAGAACACATACCACCTTTCTAAACCCAAAATTAGATAAACAAAAATGAATAAACAACGTAGAAGAAACTAATCGCAAGCTAATGCTACTAAGCACATCCCACGTCATAAATATATTTTAAAACATACCATAATCAGAGAGAGCAAAGATCATATGAGTGATCAATTATTCCCATAACTTTCAAACTGATTATTATTATCGTCTCCCTTTAGTGTACCAACGTCAAATTTATTTTTTTCTTTTCTTTTCCGATACGTTATCCCTCTTTCTTGTTTGTATGTGTGTTGTGTGTATTATAAAAAAAAAAAAAGAAAAATAAAAAAAAAAAATATTTTTTCTTTTTCTTCTTCTTCTTCTTCTTCTGTTCGCATACACAATACGACGAATCAAACCTCGACATGAAGGGGACTAGGTGGGCGGAGCGATCGGCAGCAACCCCATGGAAAGAGCCACGTGGCTCAGCACCTTGGTGAAAATTTTGGATTTGTAGGGCCATGAATATAACTTCTAAGTTCCTTTGGTGGTTCTGATCCAAAATCTGATGCTGTATCTACATCGGATTTGCGACAAATGATCATACGTATGTCTGTATGTAGATAAATCTTTCCTGATTTACCAGACATGAATCTGGAAGAAAAATAAATAAATTATTATTGATATTAGAAAATATATGTGTGGATAGGAATAGAAGAGATAAAATTTCGGAATACCGATTATATGCGTTCCAATTAAAAATTTCGCATATCGTATACGGTTTATCTAAAATCACGCAATCCTAACGCGTATGATTTGTAATAGTATTCTTACTTATAGACTGGAAATTTAGGCAAAGAACGCTCTATAATGGTAGGTATGTCGATGAGAAAAGAAAATAATGCGTATTATGTACCTAAGGTGTACGAGGTAGCGTAAAGTTTTATCCCGTAAAGTTCTTTGACGTAAAAAAGTATGAGATCGTGGCGGCATGTCGGAAAGATCATACAGAACTACGAACATCTTGACGACTGTACCCAATGGATTGAGTAGGGTTACTTGAATGGTACCGCTTCTGGGTACCTGATAACCTTTCTTTCCTAGATTAATATGAGCCTATAATAAAAAGGAAAGAGCAGTGTAAGCTGGAATAGCTTTTGTGGGAAAAGAAAAAACAAATAAGAAAAAAAAAAAGAAAAAAAAAAAAAAAAAAAAAAAAACGTCCAAGACAATAGATAATTGAAAGTGGAAAAGAATGGACGGACGTACGAGGTACGGTGTAGAGACTTTGTCATTGTCTCCGAGAGTATAGAAGAACACAGTAACTGGAAGCTTTCGATGTTTAGGACAGAAGGAACCACTCGCACCGAGTTCCGCTGTGAACCCGTGAACAGTCGATACTGGTTCGAGTCTCCCGTTTAAAGCTGATTCCTCGAAGCTGCCCAATAGGGCATGACTCTGTGGCCTGTTTCGTGAGGTCGAACGTCTTCTCGGGGGTTCTTCGCCTTCGCAAGTATTCTCTGTTTCTCGATCAGTTTCCTCCAACGAAACCGCACCTGGACTTGGTGGCGTGTTCAGTTCAAACAGCGCGCTTGTTTGAGAAAAAATTAAAATATCGTTAAAGGATTATTAAATAGAAACAAATCTTTGAATTGATTATCATAAATGATAGTAGTAAACAGTTAGTAATCATGTACCTTCTTTTCGAGGAAACGGAATTTAAGCTACTGTCGTAGTCGAAACAGCAGCTACCTCTTCTCAATGGCGCGGGACTCGAGGTTAAAGGTAATCCAGTCCTACTATGGAATACCATCGACGCTGCATTCTCTAAAGACCTTCGAAACCTTTCTTGTTCGATTGCCGAAGGAACCGCTTTGTCAATATTCTCATCCTCCTCGATATTGCTACTTAAACCAGCAACTTTCTGATTGTTAGTTCGTATTTTGGAAGACGAGAAACTGCTTTGCAACGACGAGATTGGCGTTAAGCTGCTGATATTTTTAACCGCGGATGGAACAGGATCTTTATTATGTGCTTTATTATCTCGATTAGTTTGATCTTCGCGTTCATCTTTATCCTCCACGGTAGTTTGATTTGTACTGTACAGCCTGTTCACGTTTATACGATGATCCTCCGTGTAATTTGTACTATGAATCCTTGAGTTTTGATGTGCGCCATTTGTACTAGAATCTAAAGACATAGGTTCCGCCGATCGTTCATCGTTCTTTCTTTCTGTCTCATCGTGAAAATTCGTAAAATCTATCTTTCTCTTGACCTTGACCTCTCTCAAATTACATGTCGTATTATCCACCGAATTACCGGTTTGGGCGTTATTGGAAGATAAATTTAAATTTACACCGTTCATCAAACGTTGCGAAGAATTTCGCAAGTATTGCTGCTGAAAATGATCTTCCGTCGCAGTGCATACTTTCTTCTCTTGTTCCTTTTTAAATAGCTGACGAAAACGATTGAATTTTTTGTTCAATGCCAATGGTAAAGACTTGTCGTCTTCGTTAGGTACAATTCTCGAATCGTGTTCAAGTTTTTCGATCGAATTTGGCTGCTCGAACCGTGAATTAGTTTCATTATCAACTTTTGAATTTACCACAGCACTTTGAGATCTGGTCCCGTTACATATATCCGTTAAACCTTTCCGATCTCTGCTAGTTCGCAATATGGCCCCCAATAATACATCTGCCTTGTTCGATACACTTTGCAAACAATCGACCGTATTACCACCACCGCCAACACGTTTGTCCGTTACGCAAGATTTATCGCTTTTCGATTCATCGTTGACATAATTACCAAGTTTGTCTTTCCTCTCGTGAATTGGATTGTATATATTCTTACTGCCATAAACACGATCTAACGCGACGTTTTTATCGGCCAATCGATGCTCATTTTTCTTGCAATATCCATGATTGCAATTTTCGCAAGATTTAGTCCGTGCATCAACGTGATTGACAACGAGATATTCGTTCGAATCCATATTGGTGGGAAATTTAACCGCAGTTTTTTCAAACGAGCCATCCTCCACAGATTTTTCATATCTATCGCGTCTTTTGATAGTTTTCAAAGGAGTCCTTTTACGTCCGGATGGTGTCCTGGCTCTTAACACGGCCAAAACCTCGTCGAATTCGCGCTGGCTTAGTTCCAAATTGCAGTTTTTAAACTTGACCTCGTTGTCATGATGATCCTGAGATTTCAAGTTCGTGTCTTTGGCTTTACCATTTTCAACGTAACTGTTGTTGGCCGAAACACCAAGAACACGACTTGGTACTCTGCTAAACCAATCCAGTATACCACCTTCCTCTCTGGATTTATCCTTATCGCATTGTTGTCCTTCGGGAAAAGACAATTTAGACATCATTTGATTTAAATCTTTATTAGGTTTTCCACGATTTTTCGGATTATCATCGATTCTAAAAGAAGTTTCCTTACCATCGCCATATCCAAAGCCGTTTATCAAGGATTTCGGTCGAGTTTGGTGTACCGTACAAGGTGATTCAAAGGTATCGTGTTTGGGTTTCAAATAGGAGTTTTCTAACGTCGACGGTCCTGGATTGGATTCGTGAAAAGGGGTAGCTCGTTTGAAGGGATCTATCACAGGTGGTGTAGGAACGGAATACATCCTCGATGAGGAGGATGATCCATTGAAACGTCCTTCCTTTGGTCCTCGCAAACTTTGAAAGCCGCATTTCCCATTGGCGCCGCTATTGTTCCAGGATTCAACGAATGACCACGGTAAGGAAGAATTAAATGGTATTAGGTTATCGAAGAGACCGTTCTTTTCCATCGATTTATTTTCAGCCGGTGTACTAGCGCAATTGATGTTTTTACGAAAGCCACCGCTGGTACCACCACCGTTTCCACCATTTCCACTATCACCACCACCACCACCACCGCCGCCACATCCTTTCTCCGAACGTCGTGTTTTCTCTTCGGTAACTAGCTCGCACGATTTCGCTTCGGCACTGTTCATGCGTTCACTATTGTCGAGTGTACGCTTGTAACGTTTCTCAACGTTACCATCTCGTTCTTCGATACTCAATTGTGCTTTAAAGCAACGCTCGAGATTGTCGGAATTAAGATTATTGCGACTCCTAAGGGTATTATCTTCAAAACGATTATGATGATGTCCGTTTGTAAACTTTATACCAGAAACTCCACGATTATTTAAAATCTCCGATGACGATCTGGGATAACTGCTCGAGCTCGAATTAGTAACGGAACGATCGTTATCCCTTTGCTGTTCTCTAACAATTGATTCACGAACAGCCGGCAGTGGCATAGCCTGTAACGTTACGCAGGAATTGATATCCGGTGGACCGCAAGGAAGGGATCTACGACGTTTTCTCTCGCCTATAGGCCTAGCAATCGATGGGGAAGGTGGTGAAACGTCTTCCTCTTCGCAACGACAATGATGTTTTCCTGGCTTGTTGCACGGTGTTTGTAGCCTATCATCCAGCAATACTGTTTCAACATATACCATAAATATTTACATATTATTTATCGTCTCATTCACAAAGATTCTAAAAATATCATTGAGAAAATAATAGAAAAAAGATAAGCATATTAAATCATCTAATCTTATCTGCGCTTACCCGGCATGACAAGATTGTCGGTATTTTGCGAAGAATTGGTCGAGTTTACCGACACGGGAATCGTTTTGGTTGGAGTCAGGGCCCTAGCAACATTGGTCTCCTCATCTTTTTCTTTTATTGGATGTAACGGGCAGCTAAGTATTGGCACCTCTTCCATTCGTGGCAATGCCCAAACAGTGACCTAATATTGACATCAGAAATTCTCTTTAGGTTCACTAAATGCATTCACAGTGCTCGTACAAGATTGGGTAGTCAGTGATTCATCTGCCGGTTAAAAGTAGGTATGGTTAGTGTCCTCGGGCACTAAAATAGAAGTGAGGAAGGTAGTACGGTTCGTTTACGAGAGAACCACCATGCGGATGTACAGGGTGATACGATGATATCTTTATCAAGTAGAAGCCTGGGTCCGAGGGGGTCGATGATTGTGATTAACAACAATGATCGATTTACCGAAAGGACGATACGTTTTCTATGTAGACACTAAGACAGGGAAAGAGAGAGAGAGAGAGAGAGAAAGAGAACAACGGTAACAACATCAAATTGCATCGAACACCCTGTATATATCGCGGATGGTTCAATGGACGCTGTGTGATCTCGCTCTTTGAAGAGATACGCGAGAAATAACAGATTACTTCCGACGCTCTTGTTATATATGCGTACGTATGTACATATACTAGGTATATATGTGTAATAACACGTAGAAAACATTATATACGAGAGACGTCTGCCTATAAGGATCTCAAATGCAGACGTTCACTCGAATTCTAACGAGTAAAGTGTCTTCTTCTTCTTCTTCTTCTTCTTCTGCTTTTTCATCTTCTTTTTGGAGATACGATAGATATGTATTACAAACAAATCGTGCAATCCAAATACACACATATGGTTCATGTTTGTAGGATGGACTATATATTCGAAGAGAATAATAAAAGATTCGAGCTAAAATAATGTGTTCTCTAATAATTTTCATAAAAAAAAAAAAATTCAAACGAAAAATAAAGTAGCCGCAACATAATGGCAAATAATTTCTTACCTTGATGGAACTTCCATCGCCGTTACCGGCAAGTGGAAAGGTATGTTCAACCGGTGAATCATTAAATTTCCTTAGATTATCCTCGTTGTGCGGTACGACCCTGGTTGTCACATAATTCGGTTCTATTCCGTTACTCCTGGACCACCAGGCGGCAACTTGACTAAAGTGTAATCTAGAACGGACTGCTTGATAAAGTCCTTGGAAATTCATCGTTTCCGGGCTCCTGTAGAACGTGGTATCGTCATTATTCGTCGTATCCAAAGGAATAATCATTTGACTAAATATACGAATTTATATATATATACATATATATGAATATATGAATATAGGATATAAGTATCGGTTTACAATAAACTTACTTGCTTGGTATAACGCAGATGCACCAATACTCCAACAAAAGTTCGGAAGTTTGTTGCCATGGTGAGATGGATAAGGACGGTACAGGGCAGATCGGGTGCTTGCTGGTGGCTTTTGCTAAGCCACATTGACAATTGCTGCAGAGTAGTACTTCAACGCATAGAAACGATCCGATCGCGGTCCGATCAGCGAGTTCTCGAACTAGGACAAGGTACCGGTCGCACTATATGTACCGATAATAGAAATCATATCCATTAGAATGAAATAGAAATAGAAACAGTTTTTTTTACAAATATTTATATATTATATATATACACACACATTACAAATCTAGATAATTTACATATGTGTAAGTTTAAATCCATAGTCGAGTTTATCGATATCGATATCGATATCGGTGGTTAAGAAGAGACCAGATTATTCGTTCCCGATCCCGAAAGTTAGCGAATTAAATTTGATCCTTAGGAAGAGAGATCCAATTACAACACAACCTATGGCTATCGAATTCGATATCCCAAAAATTCTTTCGATCTCTTTCTATAAACATTAGAGAAAGAGAGAGAGAGAGAGACTTTCGAATAATAATATTACTTTTTTTTGTGTTTTTTTTTAACCAGAAAACCACCACCATTCTTCTACCAGCAATAATACTATATAACACGCGATCTATCTGTGTTCTATGTTTTTCCACGTAATATAAGTTAAACTATCTCGTGTACTATGAAAACCATACCCGCAGATCAGAGGAGAAGAGAGAGACACGTGTGGTCTCTGACAATGAGAGAAATGCGTGTTGTGAATCATGAGTCATACCTTCACGTGTATCTTACAAGAAGGTAGTACGATTCATCGTCTCGCGTGACCCGTCTTTTCCTGGAATCGTACTTTACAATCGTACAACGTGCAAATGTACAACATCTGTTCTATCTTAGAAATGCGAATTGTAGAAATTGCTTTTAATGATCAATCTAATCGAATGATCTATTCAAGATTCTTCGTTACAGAAAATAAATGGCTATGTATATATATATATTTATATGCTTGTTATTAGTTCATTAAATCGATTAATTGCACGAAACAAAAAGTAGATAGAAAAAAATTGATAAAGTAATTATACATCGTCTCATCATTCACATTTTATTATCGATCTTTTATAAAAATTGATCTCATTATAACGTTGTGACTTAATTATTAAGTCAATTTATTTGTAATATATCAAATTAAGTATCGATCAAGCGGTTTGTTAATAACATTTGTAAACACTTTAAAAGTTAAATTAATCACTACGGTCTATGATCATTTAACATATTAGGTCTACAACTTTACTTCCGTCGTTTTTTCCTATAGAATTTTTTAGCGGTTAGTAGTGGCCGAAATAAATAGATCATAGACCTCATACAATAAGCTTGAACATCTGTAAACATAATTCCATTGAGACATTAGTCGATTTATGTTTCATCTAAATGTTATTCTCAATAAAAATGTTAGTTTACGAGCCAAATTATCGTCATTTGTGAGAAGCTTGAATTTTTGACTTCAATATGTAGAAATTTGCGGCTGAGACTCATGGAATGCTCTCAAATACTCATAATGAGATCCCTATTAGGGTAAGAATATGTAGTGAATGGTTTCAATGTTTCAAGAACAGTGATTTTCATGTCGAAAACTGGCATAGTGGTGGAAGAATGGAAGTTTTCGATAATGCAGAAATTGGAGATATTATTTAATGAAGACTTGTGTCAACAATCACTGGAAATCGTTATCGAATGCAATTAATGCGTTTGTGTTGAGCATTGAAAGACAAACGGCCGAAATACAACGAGAGACACGATCAAGTGATTTTGCAGCATGACAATTCTCGACCCCATATTTCTGAAGTGGTTAAAACATACTTGGATACGTTTAAATGGGAATACCTACCCCTACCCCACTGTATTCTCAAAACGTTGCTCATTCTGATTATTATTTGTTTCGATCAATACTACAAAATCTGGCTGACCAGCACTTTCGATATTATAAGGAAGTAGAAAATTTCATTGATTCGTGGATTACTTAAAAAGATGAACAGTTTTTTCAACGTGGAATTCATACGCTGTTCAAAAGATAATTATAATAACATAATAGATTAATATAATTTGAAATAATAATTTAATTAGATATTATATATATATTATTAATATAATATGAAGAATTAATAGATAATGATCCTTTATTTATAAATATTAATCGTCTACCTACACATTCATAATTTGGAAAAAGAGTGACCAGCGATGAACAATACTTTGAATCATAAACGTATAACCAAATCCTTACAATAAAGCCTCGAATTTAGGAAAAAAAAATTGTCGGAAGCAAAGTTGTAGACCTAATAAATATATTTAAGTGATTCTTTATCTTGAGTTCGATAAGTGGTAGTATTTTACTCAATAGAATATAAAAATATGAATGACAAATTTGATGATAATTTTTGATATTCATTTCAATATCGAATCGTAATATTATGCGTTTATTATAAATTGAAATAAAGATTAATTCGTATACCATTTTCTATTATCCGCAATGTTTCTTTGTTTCTTTTTAAACGAATTGATGAAAAATCAATGAACTCTGAAATTGGTTTTATTATTTTTTATCAACATACCAAATAATTGTCCTCTTCGCAAACGTGGTTGTTCGGGAAAGGTTGCATAGGCGGTGCACAATGCGGGCCCTCTTTGTACCCACGAGGGGGTCCCTGAATTCTCCCTTCGCACACAAGGACTCCAAGAGCTCGGAACATACTAAGTATACCGCCTCGACTACCAACCCCATTTGGGCTGGGAGTGCTCCCTGTCACCGCACCTAGGCAGTGCATTCCTATAACAAAGTCAAATGCAAATAAATTAATAAATAAACTTTATATAAAGTAATCGTATTTATAAATATATAAAAAAGATTTCACAAAAATTATGGATCAACTGAAATGTGAAGTAATAAGGGAAATTAATTTTACTAACAAATGTGTTTATATATTTTTATTTTCTTTACTATATTCTATATTGACGTGTTAGAATATTTTTGATAAATATAATTTTGATTAAAATAATTTCATATAAAAAAAGCATTTTACTTTCGTGTACACATATTTCTTTCAATTGAGAAAACAAATGATTCAGATAATTATTGTAAATGATTTTAGAAATAAGGTTTCTTTATTTCTTTTTTTTTCTATTAGAAATAATCTATTTAATAGCAACATTTAGTTTGATCCATGATTTTAGATACACCTCCCGTATACATCAACGTATAATGTTGATTACATTACAATATTGCAAACGATCTGTATTAAATATCAAAGTGAAACCTTGGAAAAAGATATTTCCCGATCGCGAGGAATCTTTTCTCAGTTGGTATAATAAACTCGAAGTAAGAAAATAATATCGGCTAAATTCGTTTTAACGATCGACCGACACGAGTTAGAGAAGAGGTGAAATTGGCACGAGACCAAAGGGCTTCTCTTCAGTTTTTCTCGCAAGGTCGACTATTCGAAGACAAAGAGACCAATGATTCCCGTTGCTTGGTATTCGATATATCTAAAACTAACGCATAAATGAGTAATTTTATATATATAGAATAAAACGCGTTATTCTCGTTATCTTAAATATATTCGATTAAATGATTAAAAACATTAACTAACATTATAACGAAAATAAAGTATAAAACAGTTGTTGAGGCTTTTAAATAATAACGACCAAACTAACGAAGTTTTAGATGTATTGTGTTTTAGAATATTATAAAAAGAAATATGTTGAAATTAAATAAAAAAGACGCTGAACTTTGACGATTAAGTTGCTGAAGAAGTCCCAATAAAGGGACGAAACGTCCAACTAAATCAAACATAGTTCTACTTCTTTCATGTCCAAGTTCCCTGTGAAATTTCATCATTAAAAATTGTAATTTTTGGACGAGAGAAATACTAAATAAATAAAGTATAACTTTCTCAATGAATTTCACGATTAATCAACAAACGACATATTTTCTTCAAAAGATGAAAGTTAATTACACGGATTATAAAAAAAACTTCGATAATATCTAAAGAACTTTTTTTTTTCTTTTCTTAAAGATCGTAGTAATTGGAAGTATTCAATCTTGTGCACCTTCGAACTTTCCAATCCCATGGTGGAAGCAATTCGACATACAGCTTAACAGGATTGCCGACATTTTAACGATTCGCTCTCTTGAACAAATTGAAATCACCTTCTTTCGTTCATTATCATTTTTTGTCATGACTTGTTAATCTCAGATCGAATTATTTATATATCTAATTCATCTTCATCTTCATTTTCATCTTCATTTTTATCTTCGTCTTCATCTTCGTCTTCATTTTCCTCTTTTTCTTTTTCTTCGCCGTTGTCGTAGTCTTCTTCGAAAGGAGAATTTACAAATGTATGTCATTCGTGAGAGTAAATCGTGTTGGTCGTCGAATTAGCATTACTAATATAACTTCGTTCCATTTCATATATGTATGTTGTGTGTGTATGTATGTATGGTACGGTAAATGAATCAAAGATTCCAACCGGATCATAGTTTTAAACTTTTCTCTTATTTCCACTGATGGGAGGATTCAATGAACGAGATAAGAAATTCGAAGGAAAGATTAGTATCTATCTATCTATCTATCTCTATCTCATTCATTTTGGAAAAATGAATGGGAAAGATCGGTATAAGATATTAAATTAGAAAAGTTGATTATTTCATTATATATTTGTTTTATAAATAAATCAGGGAGTTTGAGTCATTTTTCTATGAACACTTCCTCACACTTGTCTAATACTATCAAAGAGTAGTTTTTTTTCCGAATGGGTCACTCATCCATTTTATTAACCGTGCTCACGTAACTTGACTTTAATGATTTAAAGGGAACTAGTAATTTAACGTAGTTAAGTCACATTAACTTTATTATAAATGTATATATATATATATATTTTATTTTATTTTATTTTATTTTCATATATCATAAAGATATTAGAATTATTTAAATAAATAAATATTTTCGATAAAAAGTAATCGTTTATTTATATTAATATTACAAAAATATATATATATATGAATACTAGTACGTGTTATTTATTTTAACGTGGTTTGCGTAAAATAACAAATTGGGGTCAAGAAAATGCGAGAACGCGTTCGTGTACCAATTATATGCAACATATTCTCTCTTTCTCTTTCTTTTACAAACTATACTTGACTTTTGTTAAGGGTAAGAAAAAAGAGAAGCGTAAAATACGGAAGAGGAAGAAGAACTTTGGATGCTGGGCTCGTTAGCAAAGTCAATGACCGAGAAAAGCCGTCGACTTTATCTCTCTTCATTCTTTCTTTATCGCAAGAATGAACACACTTTCACGGCAAATGTTGTTGATGATCGGTAAAAATGTTCTTTCAATAAAAAATCAAAATCAAAATCAAAATCTGTTTGTTCGTGATCGATAGATAGATCGTTCAATTCATTTCTTTATTTATGTCCCCCTATAATTTTTGATTATTTTAATGTTATACGATAAAATAATCCTTCTTACTTTTACTTTATTCGATTCGCGTATTTCACAATGATTATTATTTCTATCACGGATGATTTTTTTATTCATAATACTTTTTATCGTATATGTTACACATGGGCATTGTATATACAAATTGTTAACACTTGAAAACAAAATCAATATCGTCAATATTTTATTTATTAACAGTATCAATTTAGTCAATATTTTTTTCCGACATGGAGCCCAAAAAAAAAAACTTGATTCTGTTTTTGAAAACTAACAGACTCTTCATCTATTAAATTAAATGCAAATATTTCGTATACGAATTCTCTCCCCACTTATAAAATTACACGTACAAAAATATATTCGAAATATATACGTATCAAACAAAAACAAAAAAAAAACAAAAAAATGATTAAAAAATTTCATTTAAATATTTTTCTGCTACTTGAAAACAAAGAAATATTATCTACTATAATATATTACACGTAACAATTTTCGCACTTAGAAAATCACATACGAAAGAAAAAAAAAAAGAAAAAGAAAATTATTCGTATAAAACAAAAAGGGTTAATTTCATTAAACACACAAGGTGGCCACAAAAATAAATGAATCTTTTGTTATAATAAAATAAACAAAGAGAAAGATAGAAGGATGAGTGGGCATGTGTAAGGGGTGGCGAGATGGGGATGGTTGTAACAGGAAAAGTCAGAAAAGATTAGAACGGTTTTGTTTTTAAAGTTGTTAAACGATTTATACGAAGAAACGCGAATAAAAGTCAACAAGAGGCCTATGGTTCCGGCTCGCGCGAACTCAACGAGGAATTTGAATAAAGAACGACGCTGCATAAGGTTCTTATACGGTCCCTGGTGTAAAAGGGGGAAGCCAGAGGAGGGAGGGAGGGAGGGAGGAGGGTTGGTTGGTTGGTTGGAGGGTAGTTGGAGGGTAACCGGAGGAAGGGTGCTACTCTATACTATCCTCTTTCTTTCTCTTTCTCTTTCTCTTTCTTTTTCTTTTTCTATCTAGTGAAGTGTTGTTCCCCAACGAGAGTATACGAGAAGAGGGTGATCGTACGTGCGTGTCATGCGCAAAACTTTGAAATCCTCTCTTCGATAGTATCCCTCAGGAACACCACTCCTCTCTCTCTCTCTCTCTTTCTCTTTGGTGTTAGAGAGGAACGACCCAAACGAATAATAATTAACGTGTAAAGAGGCGATAATTGAATAAACACGAAGCAATACCACACCTAGGATCGATTACTAATGGACAATAATGTTTTTTAACGTGTTGTTGTTGTTGTTGTTCATGGACGAATGTAAAAAATAATTATTAATATATTTTATATCGATTTATTATATATACAAATTGATATATAATTAATTATTTTATAATTAATTTTTATATCGAGTTATATATATATATATAAAATATACAAGTGTACATTTTATTTGATTATAACGATAATTATGAAACTGGATTAATA